AGAGAGAGAGAGAGAGAGAGAGAGAGAGAGAGAGAGAGTGTTCTGTAGTTCTTAGAGTAACTGGCTGGCCAGCTTGCTTTTTTCCTCTTAGCTCCATACTGCCACCTTCTGGTCTTAAATCCTGCAGAAGAAGCTAGTCCTTCATGTACACATGTACTTCAGAAACAGTTGGATGTCAGTTCTCATGCCGGCAGCTGGAGATTGATGAATAGACCCATGAAGGAAGAGACACACAAACATAAAAATAAAGTATGACATGGTACACACAATGACAGAGTCATACCCAGGTTCTGGAGAGTACATGGGTGGCAGTGACCGGGGTCAGAGTGGACAGACTGAAGAGGACTAAGGTGAATCCTAAAGAATGAGCAAAGATGAGTGAAGACAGATATGGGGATGAAGGGCGGTCACAGGAGGAGGACTTACAGAAAGGACCCAAGGAAGAAGGCGTCTCAGTGGGGTTAGTAGTGCAGCCACAAGCATCTGACTGGCTGCACCCTGAGCATACAAGGGTGGTGCGGAGGCAGTGAGAGGTTATCCAGCTGGTGCAAGGGACCCCAATTCTGTTAAAAACCCCAGAGGTAAAGTACAGTCAGTCGATGACTGTCTAAGCAGAGGATGATGTACTCGGGGTTGCCTTTCAAACGCTTTGCTTAGGCACATCTCAGGGCAGACAAGAGGCATTTCCCAAGTTCTCACTGTGCCTTACATTGGATGAAAATAACAGGATAGCAAAATTTATACTAAATTATTGGCAGTTTCTCAAAGGAGAGTGAACATTATGCCACACAAACTGTAAGTCACATAGACTATGGTTCTGGGTGGGTTTTGGTTTTGGTGAATACTAAGTTATTTTTTAAAACTCAAGAAATCTAATACCGTGGTAGGGGATGGGGAAGTAGCTGGGTTAGTAGACTGCTTGCCTCTCATGTACAGAAACCTGGATTCGATTCCCAGCAGCTCCTTCCAGAGACAGAGGCAGGAGAGTCAGAAGTTAGAGGTCATCCTTGATAATGTAGTGAGCTCCAGGCTAGCCCAGATCATATGAGGCTCTGTGTCATTAAAAAATTATGACCCATAATTAAATTAGACAAGGTATTACTAATCTCTTCTGTAATGAGGATAAAGTGGAAGTTCATGGCAACTAAACCTTGACTTTTTGATGACAGAGAATGGAGTGAGTTTACTAAGTCTACAGCAAGCAGGGAAGGTAGACTAAAACAGTGACTGGCAGAAAGACAGACAGACATCTGGTCAGACACACCACCAGCAGAAACCAGCGGGAGAAGCCCCAGGCACCAAGACAGCCCATGGACTGACATAGAGAGTCCCAAGCAGCTATCTTCTGCTGCAGGAGACTTCTAATTAGTCATTCCCACCACAGGAAGTTCTTTGCATGTTTTAAAAGATTTTATTTTTATGTATGTATATGTATCTGTTTCTGCCGTGTGTGGGTCCTCTTGGAGATGAGAACAACCAATTCCCCGGAGCTGGAGCTACAGGCAGTTGTGAGCCACCCAGCTTGGGTGCTGGGAACTGAACTCAGACCCTCTGCAAGAGCAGAGTACACTCTTCACCATTGAGCCCTCTCTCCAGCGCCCCCTGCAGGCATCCTAATGTCATGAAATAAAGTTGGTTTGCTTTGGGGAGGTGTCTGGGAATGTCCCCCTCCCAGCTGAATTCAGGGCCGACATCTTCACTCCAATCATGTACTGTCCTTCTGCTCGTAAGGACATGGTGTCTTCACATTGGAATATTTATGCTATTTTCTGTTCTCCTTCTCAGAAGGCCAGGGGCTAGTCCATCCTTGACAAGGCATCTTGGAGGACACACTCGGGTGTTATTATTATCATGCTTGGGTCTATAATGGGGGCCCCAGAGCCAGCTCCAATTTACTAATTCACATTGCTGTCTTCCATTTTTATCTCATACAGGGAACAAGTGAAAGGCTGGAGAAGAGTAAGAAAGGGATCCTGCTCTGAGGGCAGGAAGGAGAGGAAGGGGGGCGCTGAGCCCTGGCCTCTGAGCACACCTGTGGTGGCGTTACTGCTCCCCTTGGGTGGCCTCCTGCTCCTTCCACTCCTACACGAACAGACATCAGTGGTGCTGAAGCAGGGCCATGGGGACCAGGACACCTCTCGCCATCGTCACATCCTGTCCGCGGCAGGGCCTGCTCGAGGTCTCGGGGGAAGATGTTGGCAAGGCTTTGGTTTGGCCTTCTCCTTTACTCTTAAAACAATCCCTTTTGGTATTTTTAAGAATAAAAACAACAAAAAAGAAGAGCACTTGGATTACCTAGTCCAAATCTCTTCTACAGGAGGCAGGGTGTGCGTTAGATGGCAGGAATCTGGGTGAAAGGTGCAGGGAGAAGAGCGGGGAGGGAAGAGGTGACGGACTGCTGCACATTCCTTGGGGATCCATGAGATGTGGAAATGGTGACACAGGAAGATCCACATGGTGTCCAGGTTTTCAGTTTGAGTGAGCGGTGGTGCTAAGGGCATAAATTTGAGAACATGGGAAACAGGAAAACCATGGAGAGATTGGAGGGTACTGTTGAATTACCCTTGACCAGTTAGGTGGTTGTTTCTACCAGCTTCTGAGTTACCCCATACCCTCACGGTCACAGTGTCATGCCATCCTCAGGGCAAAGTGCAAATTTTGAAAAGGAGAAAAAACTGGATTAAAGGTCAGAGAGGCCGTGCATTAGCAGTATCCTGAGTGGAGCGGGGAGATTTCAAGGGATGACCGTGTGTCCTCCTGTTAGAGTCTTCCTCTTCTGGAAATACTGTCCAATGTACTGACACCGAAGAAACCAGCCTCACTGCCCCTATAAAAATCCTCAGTGTCGCCGCCTCTGTGAAAGTCTCCAGTGTTCCAACCGTGGGCTAACTGAGCCTCTGATTCAGTGGCCGCCCTGACTGCTGTTAGAGCAACCAGCTATTCCTTGTGGGTGAGCAGCTCAAAGTGAAATTACAGAAAGAGACGGGATACAGTGCTCTCCAACCAAGACAGAGCCTTGACTGTGGGGGAAATTAGCTTTAAAAATGAGTTCATTATTTTATTTTATTTTCAAAGGGACAATTTAGCTACAGGGATGACTCAGTTGGCACACCATTCGGCATGCAAACATGGGATCCTGAGTTCCTGCCACAAGAACCCACATAAACCTGGGTGTGGTTGTCATGGCCATAATCCCAGTTACAGGCTACCTAGCCTGTAGTGAACCCTCCCTCAAACAAGGTGGAAAGTGAGGACAGATGGCAGAGGTTGTCCTCTGTCCTTTACGCACACGTTCTATGGCATGCATGACATGTACACACATGCTTGTTTAAAAGGGATGATAGTCCAAATTAGGATCAGGATTCGGCCAGGCTGAGCATCTCTAGATAACAGGAATAACATGAGGCCTCCGGATAGTGCCAGGACCAGCACCCTGCACCCAGAGCTCTTGTCTTTTTGTCTCGGGGATTTAGTCCTCCCTCACACACATCCTCTTGAGCATTTCTTTTGGATTTAGACAACTACTTCCCGGAGCGTTCAGTGGTGCTCTCGGGGAGCCCATTTCTGATTCTCATTCCCACACTAAGGCACTAGATTAGAAATAAGGGATTAAGTTTAATCCTTTTTAAAAATGTATTCTTCTCTCATACAGCACATCCTGACTGCAGCTTCCCCTCTCCATCATGACCCACTGCTCCTCCATTTCCTTGTAGAAAAGAGCAGGCCTCTCAGGGATATCAACAGAACATAGGATGACAAGATGCAATAAGACTAGGTACAAACCCTCATGTCAACACCCCTGAGGACATAATCCTTGATCTCAGTTTGAGAAGTAAGAAACTAAGCCTAAGAATCCTACTGTAATCAGCGCCTTTTAGAGTTGGGACTATGTGTGTGTGGGGTGGTGGTGGTGGTAGGGTGGGTACAGGAACTAGGTGCTGAGGGCTTCCATTAGAGGTGGAGCTGGGATCAAACTGGGCTTCCTGGATCCCACATTGCATGAGGTCTTGCCTGGGGCCATAATCTACAGTGTTTGCGTGACCTCTTGCTCATTTGCTGTATGGGAAAGTTTGTTTTATAACAGGTCTTACAGGATGAATAACACTGCATTTGACGCACACCAGATAGTTGTATAAGTCTATGATTCTTTGCCAACACTCGCAATGAAGCTTGTGCTAGCAAAGTTAAAACACCACCTTTATAGGTTTTCAAAAGTGCAGTTGTGAAGTCAAGTAATTTACCTGCTGGGCTCTCTGGAACCTCGTTGAGATTTTTTTTCTTCTGTGCTGTTAGGTGTATTGTTGTTAGGCAGTTTTAGTTTGTGTGTGTGTGTGTGTGTGTGTGTGTGTGTGTGTGTGTCCTTGTGTGCTTTTGCTATCAGAGTAACATGGAACTCCTAAAATGAGTTTGGAAGAATTCCTTCCCAGAAAGGAGCATGTTTGTCCGTTGGGTTCAAATCACTGTTTATTGGAAAATATTGATTATGGATTTGGCTCATAGTTACCTGGACTTTCCAACCTATACTATGTCCTTACATGGAAATCCCCAAATTCTGCTATTTTTATCCGACTTCTTTTTTTTAATAAGTCATTTTGTTTTCCGATACTTCAATACTCTATAGCCATTATAATCTCAACAGTTAAATAAAACTGTCTCTTTCAAACAAAGTTGTTACTACAAATCATTTTGTGTAACTTTTTATTTTATTAAGAACTTTCAGCCAGGTGTACATGCTGGTAATACTAGTTTGAAGTTATCCCAGGCTACATACTAGGCCAGTCTGATACACATTATAATGAAATTTTAACACATACTATATGCATGTATACGTCCACAGGCAGATGCAGATAAATACATGCTGGTGTAGTTACAGCAAAATAAAAACATCTTCACGTTAAATGTAGTTATTATCCTGTAACTAGGGACTTAGGACTTGTAATTCTGCTTTATTAAACTGAATATTGTGGTAAATATCACAATGTTATTATAGCTATGGTTCATATGTAATGGCTATTCTAAATTTTTTTTGTCTTATAAAATATTAATATACACAGACAAATAGTCCCAGCACTGTTGTGCCTTTTGAATGTCACAAAGTTACATAATGATAATTTTAGAGTTAATCATTGAAAAATGTGCCCTTCCCTTAAGTTTCCCAATTTTTTTCTTAATCTAATCAAGTAATGCGTGCAATTTCACAATGTATTTCAAGTTAATTTATAACACATTTTAAAAGTGTTTCTGTTAAACAACAGAATGAGGAGTTGTAGCGTGTTTGAGGGTATTTCTCTAAATGTGCATGTACCACATCTCTACATGCTGCATCTACTTTACGTCACAGCGACCATGTAAAATTCTGCGAACAATCCCTGTTCTAGCAAATAGAAATCCAAGTATATGTTTGTAAAAATATTATAGCCTTAGGAAACACAAATTAAAGCACTTAACGTTTCTATTGAGTCCCCTGCTAGTCCCAGGCACTTACTAAACTAAAATAAAGGTTTATAAAACTTGATAAAGCTTCTACATCTTCACCAAATCTACTTCTGCATGTATTTCTGAGACAGACTCATGATCTCAGTGAGCACTGCCAGGAAGAAGGCTTCGGGTTGCCGTCACCCAGCACAGAACATCCACCTCTCCAGATCTCAGAATGTCAGGACAGTCCGAATGCTGAAATGGAAAATGACAGCTTTTCGTCATTTGTGTGTGTGCATATATGCATATATATAGTTTTTCAAACAAGAAAAACGTTCCTTTCTATTATAGGGGCTCTGTGGTTAATTCCATTATGGGAAAGCTGTCTGGCTTTGAGGTCCACACCCTCTGTGCATTCTGGTGAGGGAAGCTGAGTGGATAATGAATTGACTCAGGAAGCACCTGCTTAAACTGCAATTGTTAGCAAGAAAGAGTTCGTCCTGCCCCAACAGGACTAAGGCCGTGATGGGAGGACAGTTAAGATAATCCAAGAGGGTGTAAACTTCTCAATGCCAAAGAGATGGTGAAAAAAAGCAAGACCTACCTCCCCTACCTACCTACCTCCCCTGTATCCCCAGAGTTTTGTCAGGGGCTGGAGGAGAGTGGGTGTTGTGTTCTTAGTTATTGAATATTAGATCACTTAGTAAATGAAAGTGGGCTTTAGTTGAGTAGTAAGTCTGCTTTGGGACATTGGCCTTTGGGGATGGCCTGAGTACATCTATCTGCCCATGAAGGACTGACGAGGACTGGAAAACAGAAGCAGAAGGCCACTAACGTACTATGTTGGCATGTCCAGAGGAATCATGGTGATCAGACTGGCCCAAAACGATGCTCTTGGGCAGGAAAGAGGAGACACACTGGAGGAGATGGGGTGGGCAGGGGTGAGTGTGTGCGGGTCCTGCCTGCAGGCCTCAGCATCACTTTGGACACACTGGGCAGGAGTCAGAATGAGCATGCAGTGCTCTGGCTCTTACTCTATAAAAGCCGAATAAATGTCATTCTCTGCCGAGGTGGAGAGAAGCAAGAATTGTTCGGGTAAGTTGATGTAAATGGAACACTCTGGGCGGCGTGGGGTTGGGGTTCTTATGCAGGAAGTCATGGAAACTCAAGGGCTCAGTTTTACAAATGTCATTTTGGAAGTAACCACATTAGGGAGATGGGAGAAGTAAGATTTCAGGAAGTAGTTTTGTTTCTTTGGAAAACAACTAGTAATTATTTTCAAGCTGTATTAAAATATTAGTTTTGTTTACACAAATAAATAAATGTCAACTTTTTTTCAGGTAGAGACCCTTTCATTGTATACTTGTTTAAAAGTTAAAATTTAATTTAGGTACATGATGTTACGATCCTGTAGACTGCATCAGGCATAGAGAGAGCACTGAAAAGAAATGTTGTTTCCTATTACTAGCAGAATCCAACCCCACTGCACACTGCTGATGCTCAGTATTTACAGAACCAATAAAAGTCATCTGTTTTGATCTCAGAGGCAGGTCCGAGACATCCATAAGGAAAGAGGAGCTGAACTTGGACTCCTTCACACCCCACCTAGCTCTGGCCTAGTGCTCAGGAGGGAGCCGAGGATGACAGCAGCACCCACTGTTTACCTGGTTCACGGGGCTTTGGGTGAGAAGTCTGGCCCTGTGTGGAACAGAGTGCACCCTGGCGCTGCTCCCGTGGGACCAGATAGTATTTATTTGCCTTTTGTAACCTTAGTTTCATCAGCTGGATATGGCAAGAATAACATCTGAGAAACAAAACTCAGAAAACAAACACAGTTGCAAAAGAGCTTTGGGAACTGCACGGCTTGAGAATTAGAGAAGCTTTGTAATGCTAAAAAATGGCCGGTAAGATCCATCTGGTGTGAAAAACTAAAGTCTAGGGTACTTTAAAGAGCTCGTATAGGGCTGACATTCTAAGAGAGTAGCTATGTCCACCTGGCTAGCTTAAATAATCCAAAATCAAAAGGGAAGGTAATGGGTACATTTATAAATACTAAGCTTTAAAGGTAGCCTGTGGGAAAGAGTCAAAGGTCACCATAAGAAAACATACCTTTGCCCTGAATAAAGCAATTCAAACCCTTCATTGATGTTTTTAAAAGGCAAGGTGTGGGTTATCAACTGGTCCAGGTCAAATTTCTTTTCCAGGAGCTCAGTCACCAGTTTAGGTACATCATCTCTGCTCTTCCAACCTGTGAGTAAACTCAGGCTAGTTCACTGTGCTTTACCAATCCTCACATTTTACGGCATTGTATTTGTGTCGTTTCTCTTATGCATTATCGACATCCCCCCAGCCGAGTCAATCCCAACATCCAAAAGAGCTGTACTCCCATCGTAAGAAACCAAGGCTAACAAAACCCTTCTTGATTCCCTGTGTCTCCTTCCAGCTGTCTCACACCTCTGTGCTGAACAGCACCACAGAGAGAACCATGTCCCATGCACTCTTTCTGGTTCCAGTCCCTTTGACTCTCTTGTGAGCTCATTCTACATAGATTCACACTCCAGAGCACCACTCTTTCGGCTTTAGTCAAGGTTTACTCATCATTTTGGTAAAATGGTCGACTATGATTCCTGTACTGTGTCCTCTGGGGAGTCTTGGTGACTGATTTCTCCCTTTCCCTTACCTATTTCTGATCATATTATCATCCTCACTCATTATTCTCCTACTTCAGTTAGGAAAAGATCTTTACTGAATCCTCCACATCTCCCAGATACTCAAATGGTTATTATTCTCTCACACTGTATAAGACAGAGTCCAATATGAGGAGTACCTCCTAAATCCCAGTGCTGCATGAAGGTACCAGAGAATTCGACTTTGTAGGAAGGGACTGAAAGTATTATACTACCTACTGCAAGTGAGTGATTCTGGCCTCATCCTTATAGCCTCAGTCGTTCTGGTGGGATGGTGAACTCTTCCTATGGAATTTGGCATTCTATCTGTTCATTTATTTGGGATCTGGGCACAGAACTTTTACCAAGGTCTTCTTGAGTAGGGCAACTTCTCTTTCATAAGTGAGTGTTCTTGTGTGTATGGAGAACAATGGATGCCATCAGAATTTTCTGCCATAGCCTTTGGGTCATAGGAGTTGCAGATACTTACCTAATGTGTGCTCACTGGTGTTAGCTCCTGAGTCACTTAAGGAACAGATAGATAGCTGTCTTTTGTGTGATTGCTATGGCAGCTCCATTTGGGGTCATTTATCACTCACTCATCCTTGGAAGAAAGTACTTTGAGGGTAAGGAGACAAGAACACAAGTCTCTCTCACTTGGTAGGCTGTCATGGGCCATGACACAAATACAACAGATGGTAATTAATAATTCAGTTGTTGATACACAAGATGAATAACTCTCTGATGGAGGAACCTCATCGAGCAAGGCTTATGGGACCACAGACTCTGAAAACTGGTTGTTTCTATCTGTAATTTTCTTCATGTGCCACTACATTTCTTCCCTAAAAACAGCTATGGGTAGTTTCTCCATTCCCTGTGTGTTTATCTTGTGTATTGATTCCATCTACTGGGCACACATATATCTGTGGCTGGTCAGGAAGATGATTTCTTCTTAAGCTGTACAATTTTGCTGAATAGAATACTAGGATATTCTTCATAGTTCAGACTGACATAGGAACTAACAATATTCTCAGTTACAACGGCAGCTTTTTACCCAATTAGCTGATTTAAGACCTCAGAGCAAATTCAAAGTAAAATAATTGCACCTGTAAATGTATGCACAAGGACAAATTCCCAAGTGTCTGTTTGTTGAACCAAGGTCAGGCACAAAGCAACTTAAGTAGACATAATTCCCTGCACCGAATCTCTCAGCAACGGACTCTCTGCACACACACCCTAATATCATTTTTATGATACAAGATTCAAGGTTCAGCCAACTAACTGTTTATGCAGGATAGAAAAATATATCTTAAGATTTGGGATGCTTTTAAGGTCACTGTCCCTCACTATGTGTCTCTACCATCACTTTACAAGGAGTCTGGCTGACAGCCAAGCGTTGCCATGGTTACTCACTTCCAGCTGCCAGTCAGTGTGGCATTTCAAGCCGGAGAGGAACCATATGATTTCTTGTGTGTTATCAGAATGGCTCTGTCTTTATTGTTTGTTCAAGAAATGTAACATGACCCTCAAAATGTAGCTCATATATATTGTCTAGAGTTTTTTAGTTGGAGAGAGATTTTTTTTTTCAAGATGCAGTAATAAAGTTACCATCAAAACACATAAGTTCCTTTCCTAAAGACCTTCAGATAGATAAGAGACTTGACTGGCATTTCTTTTTGCTACCCTGCAGCAAATCTGGGAGCTGGTCTCCTGGGCTGCAACAGTAGGCAGCGGAGGCAAAGTTACTACCCACTGTCCGGAGGCCCAGCTTCCCTCACCTCCAAAGACGCAGCCCTTCCATGTACGCCCAGTGAAGAGCAGCATTGGGTCATAAGTGAGCATCTTGGCTGACGGAGGAGCACCAACGACCACACTGGTTCCATAGTTCATATGGCAAGATGAGAGGGCATCAACCTGAGTTTAAAATGAAGGAGATTGTTGCTTATGGAGATCGTGGGCTCAGAAATGACAACAGGTGGTCTGAGTTCCAATAGTTAACATGGTTTCCAACTACAAAATCAAATTAGGCTCCTAGGCTTTAGGTTTCTATTTGATTCAAAAATTCTCAATGGAACTTTAGTCCTTAATAATTAATTCCTACAGACATGTACCTCTTAAGAGAGGCAGTAGCCTTCACTGTGGTCAGTGTAATTGTCATTTTTTAGTACATTTAGTCAGCCTTCACTGACAACACAAGAGAAATCCTTGTGATATTTTCATACCAACATTAACATTTCAGACAAGCCTCAAGTTATTTGAGCTAAATGAATTAATCAATTAGAATGTTTGAAATGTTCATTTGAAAATCAAACACAAATACTAAAATATGAGGCAAAGGAATTTCTTTTCTTGACATCTCCCTGTGGCTAGGTCCACGATTGTGGTTATTCACCTTTCAGTTATTCATTAATAACCCTTTAAACACTCCGTAGATTGCAACAACAGACGGTGGGTTTTGGACGGCACTTCCTCAGAGCGCCACCTCACAATCAACAGAGCTCATCATGCATCCATCTGGCTCTTTGCTCCGTAATGTACAACCTAGAATGCCATGCTTGCTACAGAATAAATTCTAGGTGACACCAAGAAGGGGATGTGACGGTGGTGACAAACTGAAGGTTTCTTCTCAATTACCAAATGCCTCATAGCAAATTTCACCTGTTATGCAATTGTGAGCAAAACTGGTTTTGTCCGGTTTTCCAGGACTCCTAATTCTACCCAAGGCTAGGGCTTTCTAATGTCAAGAACTCTGTCAAGTCAGCCACTGGGGTACCACAGAGGAGGCATAATTCAGAGTGCTGAAGTTTGTGTTCAGTGGGGATTGAGAGAGGGGACAGCTGAGCTGGGTGAAGATATCACATGTAGAACAATCCTCTCGGCCACCTCATCACCTCCTCAGCCCTCTTCAGTTCTCATCACAAAACAAATTCAAAAGATGGAATCCCTTTTGCTAAGACCTCCACATATACAAGCAAAGTTATGGGCCACAAGTTGACTCCTTACCCTCTAATGACATGAAAATGGTATGATACAATACTTCTGTGACCAGGTAAAACTGATCTTAAGATGGTGACTTTTTTAGGCAAAATTGCTATGTGGTTATCATTACATTTTGATGCATTTATTTGTGTGTGGTCCTGAGCATGGATGAGTGCATGGAGTGTGTGTGGAGCTCAGAGAACAAACTTGTGGGAGTTGGCTCTCTTTTCTCCATGTAAGTATTGGGAATCAACTCAGGTCGTCAGGCTTGGAGACAAGCACCTTTACTCACTGAGCTGGCTCACCAGCCCTGCTTTGGGGCCTGGGTCACAGGTATTTCCATAGCTGATTGTTGATAATGCTCTGTAAAATGAGTTTTAGGCTGAACACATCGTGGAGCTTGGCTCCTTCGTGGCTCCCTGAATCTCGAGTCTTACCATGGTTTCAAGGCGCCCGATAACTTCAAAGGTATACTGCACGGTGTTGCCTGTCATGTCTGATAGCACCTCACTGATGGGCTTGGGGGAGTCCTTGGGACTGATACACTCTGTGGCTCCTACAGCCAGAGCCTTCTGGAATTTGTCTTTGTTGATGTCAACTCCAATGATCCTGGAGGCACCCGCGGCCTTACAGCCCATGATGACTGACAGGCCTACTCCTCCCAGGCCAAACACAACGCAAGTGGAGCCAGGGGTGACCTGTGGAGAGAAGAGTCCCTCCAAGAGTTAACAGTGACACCTGCCAAGTATCCTCAGTGTCAGGAACACGAAGCTCAGAGGCTTGCCATGACTTGGGCCAGGACTCCAGATGGCTTATTCCAACGACAATGAAACAAAAAGAATTAGAGTAGAAGAATGTTTGAGAAAAGAAGTATTTGCCAAAGCAAAGGCAGTATTTGCCAGATAAACAGCAGCTCTTCCTAAAGGTTTACCCATAGGCTAGCAGCCTTTGTAGCCTGCTTGGCCCTACCCACAAACCCTTCTGCCCTCCCGGGAGGGTTAGACAACACTGAGACCTTTCTATTGTCTTCCCACAAAGCCATGCTGATTTGTTTTAGGTTTGGTCTGACTGGCAGTTTCTGAATAGCCATGACTCTGAGTCATTTGGAGATATGTTGTCTTTTTTTCTTATCCCCAGCCAAGTCCAACCTCCATGTCATCTGCAATTCAATGGTTGATGAGTAGTTCAAGGAAGGAACCCTACTTAAGTCAACTTTGGAGTTTTTACCCAGTACTATACTAGATTAAAGAAGGATTCAGCCCATAGTCACGTTCCCGATAGAAGAATAGCAAAGACTGAATCCAAACGGTCCCTTAGAAACTCATCAGGCTTTTGTGTTACACAGCAGCTACTCTGGTCTTTCCTCTGTCCTCTACCCCATGTGTGGAAATGTTCATCTCCAGTACCTCAACATCTGGTCTTATTTGGAGAGTGTCTTTGCAGAGGTCATCGAGTTACAATGAGGTAAAAAGCCTTGCTGTGGTTTAGATGTAGTTAGAGCTGTCTCTCATGGGCTGTGTGCTGGGGATTTTGTGCCCAGGATGACCATGTAAGTGGCTATGGAACCCGTTTGGCCTAATGATGAGTGAGTAGGTCCTCGAAGGTGCTGGTCTCAGCAGGGATGAATTCTTGGGGGATCTGGATTAATTCTCTGGAGAGTGGGCTGTGTGAGGTCACATGGTACACTTGGCCTCTGCTATCCATGGCTCTCTCCTGTCTCAGTTTTCTATGCTGCGAGGAAGCTGCTGGGGTCCCTAGTGAGGGCCTGAATAGATGGAGCCATGTGAGCTAGAACTTTTGGTCTTCAAAACTGTGAGCCAAATAAACCTGTTTTCTTTTTCATACCCATGTTCAGGTACGTTGTTATAGCAACATAAAACTGATTAGCATATCCGTAGTCCAACGTGACTGGTGTTCTTATTTTTTAAAAATTGAAGTTTAAATATAAAGACACAGTAGGAAAGATAAAACAAAAAACAAAACAAAAACAAAAACAAACAAACAAAAACCTGGGAGATAGGCAGCCATGGGCATGACAAGAAAAGGGGCCTGAACAGGTCCTCCCGCAGCAGCCTTCAGAAGGAACCAAGCCTGCCCGCACTCTGATTGGGGACTTGTGATCTCCCGGACAATAAACCTTGGTCTGCCGCACTTCGCGGCAGTCTCTCCCGCAGACTAACACACCAGCACCAATATACGTCTGGTGGGAAAAGAGATCCGTTTGAGGACTGAATATAAACTTCAGTGATTTAACCCGAGGGAGATGCTGCAGGAACAGGCAGTAAATCCAGACGTTGCAGCTCCGTGTATTTAGAAATAAAATTTCTACCTTGCACCCCTCCCACTCCGCCCCCCCCCCTTTCTTCCAGCTCATCTGGCAGCTCGCATGTTTTCACAACGTTTCATTTTCAGGTTGCTTTAGTGCTCTAAAAACGCCCTCAGGAAGGCTGACAGGCGGGAAAGCAGGAGCTGCAGGAGCCCGGCCCGATTCTTACCTTGGCGGTTTTAACAGCAGCTCCATAACCAGTGGAAAACCCACAGCCAATGAGGCAGGCTTTCTCAGGAGCAGCTGCGCCATCGATCTTAGCTACGGAAGACTCATCCAGCACCGTGTACTCAGAGAAGGTGCTAGTGTTCATGAAGTGCTGGACCGGTTTGCCCTTGCACGTGAATCTGGTAGTGCCATCGGCCAGTACTCCGCGGCCGGTCAGACTGTTTGATATATCAAATGCACACATTACTTAATTCAATTCAGAAACGACCACGGGGAACTCAAACGACAGAGTGAAAAACTACACCTACTCGCTTCTAATGCAGAGATTGCCCTCGGGGTTACAGCAGGCATTGCACTCTCTACACTGTGGTAGAAAGAGAGGGATGACTTTGTCACCTAGAAAGAAAGTAGCATGATGTAAGATGTCATTCATTTGCATTAAAATATGAAGTCAGAGTGGCTCATGCCTGTAATCCTAGAACAGTGGTGACTAACACAGGAAGATTGGCGGGCCAGCCTGGGCTATGTAGTGAGTTTCAGGCCAGCCTTGGAAATATTAAGACTGCTATCTCAAGAACCATAAATAATTATAACTAATTAATTAATAGATAGATTAAATAGGTATAAATTGAACTTATACACAAATATGTCTTTAAAATACTCTAAGCATTGTAAGTACCACAAAGTAGTGTTAGAGGTTGAGATCTGACAAGTTGACTTTACTTGGTACAATCTGCTCTCCTTGTATCTTCCTCAGTTGGGTTTCAGCTCTCTATTAACCCCCAGTGAGGATGTGCTGTTTCCTTCAGGAGCATAACCGAGGCCCCCATACCTGGTCTCACTGTAGTGACCCCTTCTCCGATGCTCTCTACAACCCCAACTGCCTCATGTCCCACAATCACTGGAAACTTGGACACCATTGCTCCTTTTATCACGTGGTCATCTGTGCGACAGATTCCTGTGGCCAAGATCTGTTCAAACAAAACAAAACACCAACAATAAACTCCTCACAACCAGCAAAGGGATCGTTTGACACTGGCATGACATTTAACTCTCTCTCTTAAACTCTGTATCATTTTCTCAAACTATAACATTGATGCCAAGACAATCTGAGCCTAAATCAAGCATCAGACCAAGTTCCCTTACTTCAGGGATGTACAACATTGCTGCTTCCCTGCCTGCTTGGAAATTGGTGCTTTTCTAGAGAGGAGAGGTCGGATGAGCATTGAAGCCTGCTCAACAGGGGCATCTAAACCAAAGACAAAGTGCTGTCCAAGCGTGGGGGGCACTGCAGGAAGGTATTGCTTCTCAGACACAAATGAGTCCGAAGTGAAAGTCCTCTGGGTGGCCTTGGTGGCACAGGCCTGTAACACCATCTGTTTGGGAGAAAGAGGCAAGAGGATCACCAAGTTCACATCCTATCCGGGCTACAAAGTGAGTTCAAGGTCAGCCCACGTGACTTAGTCTGACCCTGTCTCCAAGCAACAGGTGAAAACATAGCTAGAGATACAGCTCCTTGGCAGAGTGCTTGCCTGGTATGCATGATGCCCACGATTCTGTTTCCTGTGCTGTGGGATGACTCATCCCTAGCAGGCTTGAGGCCCAGCCAAGTAAAAAAAGATACTTTCTGAGAGCCAACCTGGGTCTGCCTAGGGCCTTAGCAACAGCAGCTGAAACATGATCTGGAGATGACCTGGACCAATGAGAGACAGCCATGTCACACCAGCAGATGCATATTCATCAGACCTCCCCAGGGTGGGGTGGAGGGTATGTAAGGCTTGCCTCTGACTGAATAAACTGAGCTTGTTGTTTCAACATTCTCCCGGAGTCTGTGTCATTGACTCTGTGCCTACTTGGCCCCCTCCCCCAAAGGGAACAACAGCAAGGACCCTGCTAGACTGTGCCACACCAATAAATATATACATCTATACATAAATACATATCCCAATACACTGTGACTCCCAGAAGATTTTAAGTCAATTCTTGGTCATGCTATTGATCATTCTCTCTTAATCACTGTATTGGAAAAAACTCAATAAGTATTATCTTTAATAAGCTAGAACATTGTTGTTCTTATTGGACAGTTAATTTGTTGAATTTCACAGCCAGCATGCCTACTTTTGTAACAACATGCATGAATTTGTGGGACAATTAGTTGGCAAACAGTTTTTTAAGAAACCAACCTCTGGGCTGGAGAGACAGCTCAGCAATCAGTTAACAGCAGTGGCTGCTCTTCCAGAGGACCCGGGTTTGATTCCCTGCACCCACATGGCATCTCACAACTGCATCTCTGTAACTTCTCTTCCAGGGGATCCAATGCCCTGGCCTGGCCTCCTCCAGCACTAAGAACACATGTGGTATACAGACATGCATGCAGACCAACATCCCCACCCCCTAAAATAATAACTACATATCAGTTTAGGAGGAAGCCAGCCTCGCAACAATGGCTTTCTCAATGTAAATGAGATCTCCTTTCAGCCTGTGTGTTCCAAGCCCCTTTCTTACCTTAACACGAACTTCCTTAGCCTTTGGTGGGGCCACTTCTATGTCCTCAATGGAGAAGGGCTGGTTCATTCCCCATAGGACAGCTGCTTTGCACTTAATAACCTAAGAAGTCAAGTGTCATAACAGGTCTCAATCGTAAATGCAGACTCCCAGAGTCATAGAAACATCACAGAAGATCCGCATCTAACATCCTGATTCTCTAAAGGCTGCTTTCCTTCAATGACAGAATTTGAAGCCTTACAGATCCTCTTGTATGGACCCTTGTCTGATGTAATGGCCTGGAAAATGCAGGCCAGAGACATGGAATGACAGATCCAAGACACAGTACATAAGGTCAGGACTGAGATTCACAAACTACTCCAATAAAGTAGTCTATTGGTACGATTTCAAATGTGATAGATGAGTGCAACTGTTATCTGTGTATTGTTTATTAATGGAGGACAAGTCTATAAAGCAGAACACTGCTCATCTGTAAGAAGTCAACCCAGTCTTTAGTTACATCTAACCCATCCAGTGGCGGTGAAGCAAAGAGATGACTCACATCGTAAGACATCGTGGTGGTTTGAAAGAAAATGGCCCCCAAGGAGAATGGCACTATTAGGAGGTATGCTTTGTTGGGGGAAGTGTGTCACTGTAGGGGGTGAGCTTTGAGGTTTCCCACTCCCAAGCTCAGGCTACTCTCAGTGTGGCACATAGCTGCTTCCTATTGCCCATGGATCAAGATGTAGAACTCTCAGCTCTTTCTCCAGCACCATATCTGCCTGCACATGGCCATGTCCTGCCATTAAGATAATGGACTAAGCCTTTGAAATTGTAAACCCCCTCCATTAGATGTTTTCATTTATAAGAGTTATTGTGGTCATGGTATCTGTTCACAGCAATAGAAACCCTGAGGAGACAGACATGGAGCTGCCTGTTATCATCATAAAGCATGTGGATTGTGACTATGGTTTTGGAGTGTGATCCACATGTTTGCATCTCTATATCCCTTTTTGCACTTAACCCAAATCAGAGCTTCTCACCTTGTACAAATAGAATGCACCCAGCAACTGACCACCAGGCAGAGCTAATTAGCTAACTGGTATTGGAAAGAGTATCAAATTCTAGCAAGAAAGGGAGGGAGAGGGAGAGAGAGAGAAAGAATTTTCCTGTAAGTTTGCTGACCACATATCCTGGATATACAGCAGCCACAAGAGAACCCTGCCTTTTTAAAAAAAAGCAGAAGCAGAGGACAGATACTCAAGGTTGTCTTCTGACTTCCACATGTGAGCCGTGGCACACAGGTACCTATGTATGTATATATAAACAGAGAGAGAGAGAGAGAGAGAGAGAGAGAGAGAGAGAGAGAGAGAGACTGGAGAAGGGAAAGGGAAAGGGAGGGAGAAAGGGGGAGAGCATACATACAGATTCAAATAAAATAAAATATAAAAGTTTCATTTTTTTCTGGTTCAACATTGTTGTGGAATATTAGTTTAACCAGGCAAAGCTGTGTTACATTTGTTTATGCTGTAGAATATTACTTTAACTGTATAAAGGTGTATTGCATTTGTTTATGCTGCACTTGTTTAATGATGTAAGGATGTGTGTTTAATTATGTAAAGATGTGTTGCATTTGTTTCACCTTGCCTGCCTAAGGCACCTGATTGGTCTAATAAAGAGCTGAAAATGGCAAATAGCTAGGTGGGAGAAAAGATGGGCGGGGCTGGGGGGCAGAGAGAATAAATAGGAGGAAAAATCTAGGCTCTGGAGAGAGGAATGAGAGAAGAAAGAGGAAGAAAGAATGAGGAACATGTCCAGGGCCAGAAACTGGGCAGCCATCAGCCAGCCAGACACAAGAAGCATGAAAATAAGATATACAGAAGAAAAATAAAAGCCCCAAGGCAAAAGGTAGATGGAGAGAAACAGGTCAATTTAAGTTAGTAGAGCTAACCAGAAATGACCTAAGCTAGGCTGAGCATTCAACACTATAATAAGTCTTCATGTCATGATTTGGGAGCTGGTTGGTGGCCCAAAAGAAAAAGGATGGTATATTTAGGCATTCTAACATGAGGCCTATATTTCCATGTAGGGCTTGAGAAAGCTGAGGGGGAAAAAACCACCAAAAAACAAATATGGGGATATGGCTCTTTTAAGAGGATTTGCCATAATGATATGCTAACTAGAAACAAAAATCTAAGTAAAAACACCTGCCACAGTGCAGGCACAGGCATCCCAGAGGTGGGGGGTTGAATACAGTTCCCATTCATACACTTCCAGACCTAGCCTGAGGGCTTAGGGCTCAACTCTCATAGACCAGAGGAGGGGACAGAGCCAGCTGCCAAAGGACCCAGTGGCAGCTCAGCAGTTTAAGATTTTGCTCATGCAGACAAAAAAGGCTCAAGAAACAAAGTAAAGCAGGTTCAGATAGAAAAAAAACCCCTCTAAACAGATTACAGTGTGTTTAAAAATGTGTGTAGGCTTAAGAAAGAAAAGAAAATGGGTATAGATAGTCATAGAAAAAAGTAAATAGTTTATAAATAATAGAAGAAGAATAAGCTACATAGAGATGGGAAATACACAGGGAGTCTGGATCCTGTGTGTTGTTATATTGTCTTTGAATTGTTTGAATGCTCATGAGAGAATGACAGCTGCTGAGAGACATGTGATTATAATAAGGACTGCTGAATTAAATAAGCCTAGATACTTTAGGGATGCCTTAACTTTAAGATGGAAGTCAATAAATATATTGCTTTGGAGAAGAGGTTATTCTTTTGGCTCCATAGGGAACAAAAGGCTGTGGACTCATTCAAGGTTAATAGTAACCAGGTTTGATTAGGGGAGACCCCCCTGAAAATCCTGGCTACAGATATAAATAAAAAAAAAAAACACCTAGAAAACTACAAGACAGGTGACGTATATTTTACCTGCTCAAACATAAAAAAAAAAATCATCTTTGGATGGCTTGTGAACAACACATAGTCCATACCTGTGTTAATGCAGATAAGTATGTTACCTTTGAAAGTTTGTGTTTTCAGAGCAAGGGGACCAGACATCAATGAAAATGGTTGGTCCAGGTGATCCAGTCTCTCAGATTGCCTCTGTTGCAGTTTCCACAGTGTTCTGCATCCAGAACAGCTTCAAGGCTGCTGGCTGAGATGGTCCAGCATCACAGACTATTCTAGCCAGGACTACAGGTAAGCCTTGTGCTTTCCCGCTTTCCCATTGCACAGAGACTGGACAACAAATGTTATGGCTAGTTTTCTTAGGACTTGACCATTATGTTAATTTTCTCAGATTCCCTAAAAAGATGTCTTCACCCACAGTCAACAGGAAGCAGCCTAGAGAACACAACACCCACATTCCCAAGAGGTGGAGTGGGTAGTTTATGGTTATTTGGTGCATTATGGATGTTTGTCATCATTTAGTGAGAATATAGGAATATAGGTAAAAAAGATAACTATTAACCTCTAATATTTTGCATTGGTATGGATTTTGGTAAACTGATACAAATTTAAAGTTATTTCTGTTATACTGTATGTATGTTTCTATTCTTGTTTGGGATATTGTGCTTATGCAGCTCATTTAAAAATGTAATGTATAATTAAGAAATGCAAGTTAGGTATGTTTTCATAGGTTAAACAGATATATTTAGATAGATAAATGATCTTCAAATACTTCAAAGACCTACATAATATGGCATTAAACATGTTTAATAACCTAGGGCTTTTCATGACAGTGAGATTGCTCCTGGCAGCACTAATTTACTTTAGAGAAGATGATGGGAATTAAGGAAACTCCATATGGAGTTTTCTTTCATTGTGGGCAAAGTTAGCCACTGGGCAAGGAAACTGCTCTTGCCTCAACTGCTGACAGTATGCTGTACAAACTGGATTTGCAACACACACACACACACACACACACACACACACACACACATACACGAAAGTGACTGCCAAGCTTCGCCAAAACAAGATAGGACAGTCCTTCAAAATTTCTGCTTTGCTTCATAGAAAAGTCTGCCAGACATTCTGCAGGACACATGAGAAGGAGATTGCTGAACTTTGCCAAGACTAGGTGAGACAGTCCTTCAAAATTCCTGTTTCATAGAAGAGTCTGCTAGATATTCTAGGCCTGTAGGCTGAACATTAGATTCCCCAAAGTTGCAGAGGAACCTTGGGTGACTGTCCAGGAGATCAGATGTCTCTGTCATTTCTATAGTTTTGGAAGTGGAAACTGCACTTCCTGTCTACTTAGGTAATATTATGTCCTTCTGGAGTCTTTGATGAAGTTGAAGACTAGATAGTTATAGTTTTCCTCAGCTAAGATGGTAAGTAAATTGAGTACAGCTTTGGACTTATCAAGATAGAATAGCTAATAGAGTGATTTCTCTGAATTTGCCAAATACAAATGTAAATGTAATTCTTACTTGATAACTTTTTTATTTTATATAGTTTTACTATGTTTAAGTTAAAACTTTCCTTTTTTATTTAGATAAAAGGGGGAGATGTTGTGGAATATTGTTTTAACTAGGCAAAAATGTGTTACATTTGTTTATGCTGTGAATATTACTTTAACTGTGTAAAGGTGTGTTACATTTGTTTATGCTGCATTTGTTTAATGATGTAAGGATGTGTGTGTAACTATGTAAAGATGTGTTGCCTTTGTTTCACCTTGCCTGCCTAAGGCACCTGATTGGTCTACTAAAGAGCTAAATGGCCAATAGCTAGGCAGAAGAAAGGATAGGGGGGTTCCAGGCAGAGAAAATAAATAGGAGGAGAAGTCTAGGCTTGGGAGCTGGTTGATGCCTCACCCTAAAAAAAATCCAGGTACACAACACAAGCTATTCCTCAACTTATGACCAACTCATGCAAGCTCCTTTAGATGCCTCAATACCTTTCAGAGATTAAATGTGGGGAACATAATGCTAGAAGCAGATGACTGACAGAAAGCTACCAGCATCTCAGTTTAACATGTACCCTTTGTCTAGCTAAGAAAAGTATTTTCAGTCATGATATAATCTGGCCAACACTAAGCTAGAAACCTCACACCATATTAATGGCAGTGACAGAGAGCATGGAGTAACTTTTATATTTAATAATGACAGAAAAAAATGTTATAAAGGAAACAACAGCTCTTCAGAGGCCATTCCCCCACCGATTCATCCTGCTATGTAGCTCGGGCTTCAGGCTGGCCCCAAACTCAACAACCTTTCTGTCTCAGCCGCCTGAGTGCTGGGTATGTAGGAATGTGTGATGCTCTGAAAGTGTTGTATGCTGAGAGACAACAGCTTTTCCATGTAGAACAGAGAGATGCTCTGGGAGAGGCTGCTTAAAGTAAAATGGGAAAAGTCACCTTGTCGGACACACAGAAAGCTTAACCATGTGTGGAAAGAAAGTGTCAAGATCTCCAATCATTGCTCTGACCTCTGAGCTTTTCCTCTGTCCCAGGAGATGTGCATAGAGGACTTTAGCAGGAAAATATAAATTAATATATTGTGGTATATTTACTCTTCTTGCTCTTAAGAATATATATATTGGTTTTTTGAGACAGGCTTTCTCTGTGTAGTTTTGGTGCCTGTCCTGGATCTCACTCTGTAGACTAGACGAGACTGACCTCGAACTCACAGAGATCCACCTGGCTCTGCCTCCCGAGTGCTGGGATTAAAGGCATGTGCCACTACCACCTAGCTTAAGAATATTTTTAAGAGACTAGAAATAACAAGCCATAATTCTATATTTATCAAGCTGATAGTGAATTTTTACTTAACAAGAATACCCAATTTTGTCCGAGCAATAAAACGGGCAATCCTATTTAAGTTCACCGCTTTGGAAGGTGATTTGCTCAGTACATCATGAAACATAAGCATGTGCTGACACTCTTACTCCACAATTCCATTATTAAAATCAGCCTCAAGGAAGAATAAAGTGCAGAAAAATCTTAATATGCTTTAGAGGTTATCTCAGGACTATAAGGGAAATATGTAAAAAAAAAATGGAGGAAACTACTAAATCTAGAAATCAGTGTAAGATATTGACAAGTCATTGTTAAGTTGGAAAAATAGGTTAAAGATATTTGTATCTTATATGAGCATAGCCACATAAAATATGGTTGGAGAATGCATAGAGGAAACAAAACCAAGCAAAAACAAAGTCAGCGGGAGCTTGGGAATATGAGAATATGCTTGATTCCCCTCGACACCCATATTCTGTTCATCCGAATTCTCTAGGATAAGCATTATAATAGAGCAAAGTCTCCAAATTCATGTACTGAAGCCCTAATCCTCCTCAGTACCTCAGAACTCGATGGTACAGTGCTTGGAGATGGGCTTTTTCACATTGCAATCAAGTTAAAGTGTGATCACTGAAGTTGGTCAAGTTGAATAGAATCTTTTTCATAATGAGGTTAAGACATAGACATAGGGAAAACCATGTAGAAATGGCAAGAAGAGCACCTCCTAAGCAAGGCTCCTAAAGGAACCAATAGTCTCAACATTCTGTTCTCAGGATCCTAGCTTCCAGATGTATGAAGAAACAAATCTCTGCTCTTTAAGCCACACAATCCCTGGTACTTTTTTATGGCATCTTAACAAATTAATATATGCATCTTTGGAAAAAATGAAATAGCAAAAAATTAACAGAGGAGTACTGATGCATGAAAATACCAGAGCAGTTTTGTGGAACACATAACACCCTGTGAACTACCCTCCTGTATAACATCACCAAATGAAAATTCTAAATATGGTGTGCTATTTGTTTTGTATGCTGTATTCTTAATTATAGTTAGGAGATGCTGCTGGACCCTGGGTTATTTGTGACTTGGGATGTTCCGATAGTGGCTGGACATTCACATGATGAAGGCCACAGAACTGGCTGTTGGCAGTTGCAGATATTCTAAGGTTCATTTCAACTCTAAGTTCCATTTACTTCTATGAGCCAAGTTACTAACGTCCATAGTGCAAAACTAATTTTCCTGATATTCAGTTTTTACAGGATTTCTGACTCAGACTGAGATGTTTTCATTCTCTCTCTCTTCCTTTCTGGGGGGAAAAGTTTTCTTTTTTCAGATTCTAGCATTCTAGTGCCTCCTCAGAGATACCAGTGTTACCCAGACTTTAAACATCATCTTCATCTTCCTAAAATTTTAAGGCAGACTAAATGCAAAGTTGCTTAAAAGTCATACAAATATAAGTGCCCCATATCATATGCAGTTCCATGCCCATTGAAATCAAGGAGCCACCTACCCCAATCTTCAAGGGGGGGGGGGGGGGGGGGGGGGACGGACCAGCATGATTTCTTAAATTACTGTCACCGTTCAGGTGCTGTCTCCTTCTGAAGGAATAGACGTGCCTTATCTACAGGGTAGTCCTCTTTTCTAAGAACGTTTACTCTTACACGTTGATACAAAATGTGTCCTCAAAAACTTGGAAAGTGGGATGACTTTGCTGTTGGCTTTGCATTCCAGAACCAACATTTTCCACCCTCACCAGCAGGCCACATTTCATCTGGCCGCTGCACAGGAGATCCTGGACCTGTTAGACTCCAGAAATGAATTGAATACATACTACTGACCCTGTTGAAGTCTCCTTGTGGAAACGGTTTGTTCTCCAGAGCAAGTGACTGGCTAGCCTGAAATTAAACTATGAATAATGTCCATATAAACCACAATTCCTTTTTTTTTCTTCGCTGCCTTCTAGAAGAACCTTCTGCATGTGGTTTTCAATCAAGTCCTGCTGTTTGCTATTGGCATTCTGACGCCATTTACCCACACACCCCATGTGTGCCCACACAACAGCCTTGCCTTCCTCAAGGAACAGCCTCAAGTATTTAGCTATTCTCCTGCATTCAAAGCTCTCAGAAGCAGCCCCCATTATTAGCACAAGAGAATAAGAAAGCTGAAATGTTTTCCTTACTTTTCCGGCAGTGCCCATCCTGGCTCTCTTGGGTTTGTAGTCTGCAAACAGGAACGTTTTCTGACTGATGCTCAGTTCACTCTGCCATGAATAATAGCATCTTCTGCATTCAATAAATAGCGTGACTTGGAAGTTCTGCCTGCCTTCAGCAACATGATTCATAGCCTTGAAACTTTCCCAACCCCAAGAAGCTCCACCCTCCTGCAAAATCAAGTGGTGAAAAGAAATACAATAACTGTTAGGATTAGACAAAGAAGAAGAGCCTAACAAAGATTGGAAAGTCAACTCTGCTGTGAATGACCAGAAAACATTCTTACCCATTTTATTTGGAGAATATAAAAACAGGTCAGACTAGTTCAGCTCAGTGCAGTTGATGAAGAATGAATTGGATGCTTCTAAGTGCAAGCTGTTATGTAGGGCAGCTGATTTTAGGGATGCACTTGAAGCATTTGTATTTGCACGCCATTCTGCAGACTTGATATAGCTTGTAGATAGTGTGGTTAAATATAAATGAGGACTAGGGGTATAACTCTGTGGTAGAACCCATGTCTTGCCCTGGGTTCAGTCCTCAGCAACACACGTGCATGCACGTGCACACACACACAAACACATACACACATACTTATAATGATATATTATGTATGTATATGTATGTATGTAATCAGTGCAAGGAATCTGTAAAAATCTGTATCTACCCAGAATTGCTTACACACATAGGTGTCCAGACTACCAAGAATTAGAATCCTGCTATACACAGAGGCCCTCGCATCCCCCGCCCCCCCCCAAATCTTTTGGGCAAGCATTTAGCTGTTTCACTATTTTAAGCCACTATTTTCTAGTGTGCAGCCACACCAGACCCTCTTGAATTGACATTCTCCTTTGATAGGAGGGTGTCCAAGCTCTTCCTTATTTTTGACGGTGGTGGGTTGTCATATTGACACTCCACGGCCTCCAGTAAACTCTCCATTCATCTGTAAGATGTCACTCTCTTGTGGAGTGACATGGCAAGGCAGGCTTTCATCTTTAGACAAAACTCTTCAGTCCTGAAATAAAGAACACAGGCCCTCACCAACCCAGAAGACGTTTGGCAGAGTTTATTGTTCAGCTACTTATGTATCAACAAAACCCTTTCCTCTGAAAAGTGGAAAACATGGTCACAAATCTCTCAATGTAATACAATACATCTGGTAAGTCCGATTTAATACTTCCCTATAAATTCAGATGTAGCGATTCTAACCAGCAATTCTAGTGCATTGGCCAAATTAAAGCCAGGAGGTAAAGCATTGCCCATGGATCAGGCTTGTATGTAAGTGTGATCGTTTTAGCAGCAATGGTAGAGAACCAGGCATGCGTTATAGGCACAGTTAGGAAGAGTTAGGCAAGTAAGAACATGGACAGACAGACATTCTGAGTCTCAGCCATCAAACAACAAAGGGCAAGCCCCAGCAGCAGAAGCCTGTTTGCTTCTGAACAATGGCAGGAGAGAACCAACATGACGCAGTACCTGCCCAAAGGCACCAGAAAACAAACATGGGTGGTACCTGCCCAAAGGCCAAAGTGCTCAGCTGATAACTCCTCAAGGGTTTTGCCAAGCTTCATAACATGCTGGCCTGGAAAGTAAAATATTCTCAAGTTAATGTACCAGGTGATGTTTGGTAGCTAAATAAGGTTTTATGTTCCTAATCCATTTCACCCAGAATTGATTGGCTAAAAAATATCAAAAGCTGAAAGTTGGAAAGTACCCAAATGTGCTGGGGTGGGGAGTGAGGAATGAATATGATCAAAACACATTGTAGCGTGTGCGAAATTCTCAAAGAATAAGTAAAAACATTAATTATATTAAAAATTACACGTAAAATGTGTGGCTTGAGGTTTCTAGGGTAAGATTCCAGGGTAAGACATCAGGTTAGAAGCTTCCTCCATGCAATGCAATGAATGGGAAGAGTCAAATACCAAAGGCTAGAATGCATTACTAACAGAGAGAGACAGGAGAGCGCTGGCCAGAACAAAGAACAGAACGTGGAAACTGAAAAGTAGGAGAAACAGCAGAACACACTGTGAAGGACTGGGCAGCACACGGCTGGAATGTGGCTCTCTGGTGGGGCAGATGCCTCAGCCAAAAGATAAGCGATTGTAAAGTGGCTGACAGTCCTACCCATGTGACAGTCCGGTAGTTACCTCAGCCTGAACACATAGGCTGTTCTGTGAAGGCCGTGATGCCTGCTTGATGGGCAGAGGGATTCCATTTTGTCACACTCGGTATCTTGGAGAGCAGTGGCCAGGTGCCAGCTTGAGAGTTAAGCTTAAGAAGTAAGTTTAAGATGGTATCTCAGAGTCATTTTGATTTGCATTTCCCTGATGGCTACAGATGTTGAGCAATTCCTAAAATGTCTTTCAGCCGTTTGAGATTCTTCTGTTGAGAATTCTCCGTTTAGGTCAGTACCCCATTTTTAAACTGGATTATTCGGTATTTTGATGTCTAGTTTCTTGATTTCTTTACATATTTTGGAGATCAGCCCTCTGTCAGATGTGGGGTTGGTGAAGATCTTTCCCATTCTGTAGTCTGCCGTTTTGTCTTCTTGACAATGTCCTTTGCCTTACACAAGCTTTTCAGCTTTAGGAGGTCCCATTTATTAATTGTCAATCTCAGTGTCTGTGCTGCTAGTGTTATATTAGGAAGTGGTCTCCTGTGCCAATTTGTTCAAGACTACTTCCTACTTTCTCTTCTATCAGGTTCATTGTAGCTGGATTTATGTTAAGCTCTTTGATCCACTTGGACTTGAGTTATGTGCAGGGTGATAAATATGGATCAGTAGCATTCTTCTACATTTTAACACCATTTGTTAAAAATGTCAGAATGGCTAAGATCAAAAATGCTAACAACAGCCTATGTTGGAGAGGATGTGGAGTAAGGAGAACACTCCTCCACTGCTGGTGGGAATGCAAACTTGTACAGCCACTGTGGAAATCATTACGACAGTTTCTCAGAAAGTTGGGAATCAATTTACCTCAAGACCCAGCTGTACCACTCTTGGGCATATACCCAAAGGATACTCAATCATACCACAAGGACACCTGCTCAACTGTGTTCATAGCAGTGTTATTTTTAATAGCTTGAACCTGGAAACAACCTAGATGCCCCTCAACTGAAGAATGGGTAAAGAAAATGTGGTACATTTACACAATGTAGTATTACCCAGTGGTAAAAACCAATGATATCATGAAGTTGGCAGGCAAATGGATGGAGCTAGAAAAAATCATCCTGAGTAAAGTGACCCAGACCCAGAAAGACAAACATGGTATGTACTCACTCATAAGTGGATATTAACTGCAAAGTAAAGGATAACCATGTTACAATCCACAGTCCCAGAGAAGCCAGGTAACAAGGAGGACCCAAAGAAGGATGCATGGATTTCCTTGGAAAGGGGAAATAGAGGATATTTCCTGGGTGGACTGGGGGTGGAGTAGGAAGGGAGAAAATGGGAGGATGGGAACATGAGGGATCAGGTTGGGTGTGTTGGAGGCTGGACGGAGGAGGGAAGTAATGAAAGAGATATCTTGGGAGAAACCTGGTGCCAGGGAAACTCCCAGGAACCCACAGGGATGACCCCAGCTAGGACTCCTAGCAATGGTGGAGAGGGTGCCTGAGTTGGCCTTCTTCTGTGGTCGGTTTGATGACTACCCTAGCTGTCATCAGAGAGCCTTCATCCAGTAATTGATGGAAGCAGATGCAGAGATCCACAGCCAAGCACCGGGCCGAGCTCTGGGAGTATGGTTGAAGAGAGGGTGGAGGAATTGTACAAGCCAGGGGGGTCAAGATCATAATGAGGGAGCCCACAGAGACAGCTGACCTGAACTAGTGGGAGCTCACGGACTCTGGACCCACAGCCAGGGAGTCTGCATGAGACCCACCTGGGCCCTTTGAATGTGAGTGACAGTTATGAAGCTTGGTCTGTTTGTGGAATCCCTAGCAGTGGGATAAGGACCTGTCCCTGGTGCTTGAGCTGACTTTTGGGAACCTATTCCCCTTGCTGGGTTACCTCACCCAGCCTTGATGCAGGGGGAGAAGCTTGGTCCTGTCTCAACTTTCAATGCCATGCTTTGTTGACTCCCATGGGAGGCCTGCCCCTTTCAGAATGGAAGAGGAATGGATGAGGGGTAGATGGGAGGTCGGGGGAGAGAATGGAAGGAGAGGAGGGAGGGGAAACTATGGTTGGCATGTAATATAAATGAAAAAAATTAATAAAAAAACAAAAAGAGAAGTAAGTTTATAGCTGAAAATATACACAAGAAAAAAAATCTTGAACAATTAAACTAATGATTCACTGCAAGCCTTGGGAAGCAAGTACAAACCAAACCCAGAGGAAGTAGACAAACCAATGTAATAGAAACTAAAAGGACAAGAGAAACAATGGATTAAATAAAACTTTGAATCTTTGAAAAGATAAAAACCAAATGGTCCTTAGCCAAACTAGCTGAATGAAAGAGAAGACCAATTTAATGAAATGAAAAGAGAGACATTATAACAGACACCAGACGATCATGGAAAAAATACTTGAAAAACATAAATTCAAAGAGCTGGAAAGTCTAGAAGAAATGAGTAAGTTCAGAGAGACATCTGACCTGTAAAATTTATGTTAAATAGATACAAACAATTTAAAGAGATCTGTAATGAACAAAAGTATGGAAATAATAAGAGTCCTCCATTAAAAAAACACCCAGGACAGGAGGATTCCCTGTTGAATTCCACCACCTTTGCGAAAGAGCTGACAGAAGTACTTCTCAAACGATTCCATAGCATCAGAAGCAACACACCAAACTCACCTTATGAAGGCTGCTATTCTGGTACCAAAACTAGAGAAGGATGCAACAACAACAACAACAAAAACAATATAGACCAGTTTCCCTGATGGAGGCAGATGCAAGAATCTTTAATAAAGTGCTTGCAGACTGAATTTAACAACACATTAAACAGACCATACACAATGAACAAGTTGGTGTCATTGAGGGTGAAAGAAAGGTTCAACATATGCAGATCAGTAGGCAGAGCATGGTGCATAAGCAGGTTCAGGGCAGGATTCACACGATCATTTTAATAGACGGAGTTTGGTTCCATCTCAAAGTTAATGAGGGTCTGTCATGGTAAGAGCTTATCTCGAAGGACCCACACAATCCAGATTGCTACAAGAATAGAGGTTTGGGAGTCAGTGTGCTTGGCTTGGGGCCTGGCTTCTCACTTGTGTGACCTCTACCTGTGAGAATGGGAGAAACGGAAGCCACAATGATCAAGTGTCCCAAGGATTCAGGGTAGGGATCACACAGCTCCTAGCACACTGCTTCATTCATAACCAGGAACAAATGGCAGTAAGAACTTGATTCTAGCCACATGGATTATTATTCTGGTTTATTGCTTAGATTTTAAAAATGTTTGAAAAATAATCACTTCAGAGAAAATGTCCTTACATCACTTAGCTGTGAGGTCCTAGAAGCCTCCAGGATTTTCTGGAAGTTTGGGCACCAAGACCCCTCTGAACACAGTATTGCTACTGAAACTCAGAACTAATGGAGTAAACTATGATCCTCACATGAGCTGATCACCCATCAGATTGTCCAGCAGCAGGAAGGTTCCAGAATGCAGAATTTTCAGTGCCCTGTCCAGGAGAGGCCCAGGCATATGGAAACCAGTCCATCACCATTATTTTCAAGCTGCCCTGCCTAGAGTGTGACGGCATGAGGCCTCCTGGGTGGATTCAGCATGGGGTCAGTAGCTCTTGCTTTTCAGGACACTGTTTCTTTTCTTTCCATTAGCTCATGCAGGACTCTGATCACCCTGTCCCATGGGGACAGCAGGAATAAAGAAGGGCCTTTGAAGTCAGAAGAGCTAGCTAACCTACATTCTAGTAGGCCAGCAAGGGGACACACTACGTACTTGGGAAACACAGAGAAGCAAGCATTTCCATTTGGGGCTTCATGAGAGGTGTCAGTGATGCAGAAGTGTAGAGGCACATGTGAAGTGAAAATGGACATGATAATAGCCATATCGCTAGGGTTATGAGGGAGAATAGCCATCGCACGACCATGAAAATGGAAATCAATGTACTGTTGAGCTAGTCTTCATAGCAGAAAGAGCTGTAATTACTGAAGGGCACAGGACTGCTTAGTCATTCGAATCACAGTAAACGCTGCTGAATTTTGATCCACCTTATCAAACACCAAACCTTGTGGGTGGGGTTTTCTTCTGGCCTTTGTTTCTCACATTTTCTCAGTCCAATGATGAAAATGTAAGCCACCAGTTGCAAGCTGAAACTCATCCTTCCATTCCTTCTTCAGCCATGCCAGGCCATGTGGGGATGGGCCATGCCAGGGGCAGGGCAGTGGAGGCATCTCAAGCCCTGCCCTGGTGTGGGAGGCTAATCCTCTGCTAGGTGCTGGATGCCAGCTCCCAGGGCTGCCATGGAGACCATGCTTGGCAGTTTTAGCATACTTGCTGTTGTGTACACACCCCACTCAAGAGAAGAATCCAAAGAGGATTTTTCTTTCAAAACAAGAGAGGGATGTCACATCTGCTTTGAATAAACTCCTCATTTGTCCTGTTTACCAACTGGATGTT